CTACTCTTCCACTCTATTACCTGAAGAATCCTCATCTACTTTCTACATCTTCGGTTTTAAACCACCCAATACCATATCTTATCTGTCACTAGAGAAATTTCCTTTGCTGATTACATTGTCAAATTGGTCAAATGATATATGACCTCTGAAGGCTCCAAGCTAGTGGATTCAAACAATAGGTTTTGCAGGGTGTGATTTCAGAACTAGAAAGATAACTTTTTTGTTCTATGGTTACAAATTAAATAGATAAGAATCAAAAGGAGAAAAGTCTCCAGGTTTGGAGAATGAACTGGTGTCAGGAAAACGGAGCCCTCTCCAGATATTCTATGTATCTGTCTCTGGTTAGCATTGTCCCTCTCTTCTACCAGTATATTTCATTCTGTCCCCTACCCTTCCCCAATCTAAAGGGAGAGGCTTCTCCTTCCAAAAAGAACTGCCTTTAAAAATATTTCTGATATACCCATTGGATGCATGCGACCCACCATACATTTTCAAGCCGTGAGCTCAACTCTGATGCTACTAAAAATTGAAAGCCTGTTTATTAGAAGTTATCTGTCTGGTTTATTGCAGGGGTTGCTCTCAATCACATTCCAGTTCCAAAGTCAAGAAACAGGGCAATGGCAGAGCTTGGATTCAAACTCAGGTCATCTTACTTCCAGGGATGTACCCTGTCTATCCACTGGACCATACTGCCTCCTCTGAGGTTACAATACATTACTGACTATGTCCATGGAGGATGCTGTGGTTCAGATTGATCTGCACTTTTTGGCCTGGTACAATATAATTCCCCCATTATTGCCTTATTGATACTAGGTAAAATGGGATGTTTGCCAGATAAAGTTTTCAGTTTAATGCACTTCTCTACCCCCTCCTTGAATAAAAAGTTCAAAAACCTATTCCCAGTAGTTAACAGAAGTGAATTGGTATTTGCCAGCGTAAGTTTCCTGCTGTGAGACACTTAGTTTACTGCAGCCTGTCTTCCTGCTCTGTTGTCTGCTAAATGAGTCCTTAATGTCGTTTTGAAATGTCTTAGTATTTCTTGGAATAATTCTGTTTTCACTGACGTTCACATAAGAAAAGCATCTCTCTCTGAGAACAATGTATTTCTCTGAGCCTAGGGACTCGGGAACAGAGCTTAATTGCCTCGGGCGGGGTTTATCTGCATTGGGCAGTAAGTATTTGTATGCAGGACCAAATAAAAAAAATTACCCTTAATACCTGCCTACACTGAGAAAAATGTCTGTATTTGTTATTGGTACTTAGATACACTATGGTAGTGCCTAGAGGTCCCAATCGAGATCTGGGCCCCATTGACAAAGGCACTGTATAAATGAATAGCAAGGGACAGTCCCTGCCCAAAGAGCTTGGAGTCTAGATAGACAAGACAGACAGAGTCATAAAGAGGGGAAGTCCCTTGCCTGAGGCCAACTAGCAGAATTGGAAATAGAAATCAAGTCTCCTGAATCAGAGTGCAGGGAGCTGTTTGCTGAAGCATGCTGCCTCTAGGTGTCAGACAGGCAAAAATGTTTTCCTTCTTTTTGAATGCTCTTAAATCTTTTTCTTCTTTCCTGACTCTGTCACCCTGTGTCTCCCTCTCCTTTCCTGTCTCTGTAGCTCCCTCTAGCTAATGGAGTTACTTCAGCATAGTTAGATTAATCTTTCCAAGGAAAAAATAAAATCCTCACTGTTGCTGTGCTCCTGTAAACTCGGTTGTTTAACTGAGACTATGATGTAACAGGCAGTAACGCTATAGAGTAATATCACTGTTAAGTTAATAAATGCTACAGTCCTGAGAAAACATTCATGGCCTCTAGCTTAGTGCCAGTGTAAATCCATTCACTCAATTAATGTTGTTATAAAAAATCCCAAACTATAACAAATCAAACTAGGACCTGATATTAAAGTGCAGTTCCACTCTGAAAAGTTGCAATGTAATAATGACCCACAGTCCATGGACGTGCTCACTGTGTGTGTGTGTTCTGTGTTATATCTGCTAATGTTGCTGCCAAAATCAGTTCTGTCTGCTTTTACTCTTGTATGCAGAGCCAACGTTGCACTGGGAGACTGAGCTGGATTCATAGATGTGAAGGCCAGAAGGGGCCATTAGATCATCTAGTCACCTCCTGCATAACACAGGCCATAGAAATTCATCCATTATTGAGACCAATAACTTGAGTTTGACTGAAGCATAGCTCCCAGAAAGGCATCCAGTCTTGATGTGAAGATTTCAAGAGACGGAGAATCTCCACTTCCCTTGGTTGTTTGTTCTAAGGAAGTGGCTCTCAAACTTTTGTACTGGTGACCCCTTTCACAGAGCAAGTCTCTGAGTGCGACCCCCCCTTATAAATTAAAAACACTTTTTTATATATTTAACACCATTATAAATGCTGGAGGCAAAGCGGGATTTGGGGTGGAGGTCGACAGCTCCCGACCCCCCATGTAATAACCTTGCAACCCCCTGAGGGGTCCGGACCCCCAGTTTGAGAACCCCTGTTCTAATGGTTAATCACCCTCTCTATTAAATATTTGTTCCTTATTTCTAATTAGAATAGGGCTGGCTTTAACTTCTAGCCATTGGCCTTGTTATGCCTTTCTCCACTAGATTAAAGAGCCTTTTAGTACCTGGTATGTTTCTCCCCCTGAAGGTACTCATACACTGATCAGTTCATCTCTTGTTCTTCTTTTTGTCAAACTAAAGAGATTGAACTCCTTGAATAGCACAGAAAAGCATTTTTCCTGCTCTCAAATTATTTTTGTGGCTCTTCTCTGCACTTTCTTCGTTCTATTATTTCAACATCTTTCTTAAAAGGTTGACACCAGAGCTTGTTGCTGGATTCCATTTAACTATTTGCAGTCATGAAAATATCTATGCACTTTCCACAAGAGTTGGAGTGGAAATCTCAGCATCTGCCCAAATTCCTACACGGCTTGGATTCCATTCTGGTTCCTGCATCATCAACACATTTTTAAAGTCAATTCTAATTGCAGGGGTAAACTGTCCTCTTCAGTTATACCTATTGGAGATAATGCCCAAAGTCACACAGCAAGTCAGTGCCAGAGCTGCTCAGGGGTCCTTGATACCTAGTCCTGTCTTCAAATCACTGTTGCATTGATGTCCTGGTGAAATTCTACCTCAGATAACTATATCCTGGTTACCTAAATTTCCCTGCAGTTTCAATGGATCCTTCCTCACTTTCTGGTGTAACCTGTTGGCAGTGGTGTTATTAGCTGTTAAATGGCTGCCATGTTCCATCGCAAAAGTGGCTGGACCTCAATAGTGGGTGAAGTTATCCATATAATATGCACATTTCTGTTAGCTTTCAAGGTGCTTAGAGATCATTAGACATAAAAAAACAGCATATAATGCTATTTTATTGGTCAGGATTGTGACATGGATATCTGTGGCATTGTATGAATAATAAATGTATTCATGTCAATAGCAGATACATGACATAGCTTCCTATTTCCACAGGAGTTTGGCCAGGCTCTGCTCTGTCACCATCATTGTTTAGTATTAGTATCACTTGGTTGATGGAGAAGCTTGAGGTAGGGGTGCTGGAATGGGGGGGGGGGGAGGGGCCATGCCCCGCCCTTCCTCTTCCCCTCGAGGCCCTGCCCTCCCTGGCCAAGCTGGAAGCCAGAACTAGGCTGGGGAGCCCGGCCCCTCCACCTGCCCGGGGTGGGTGGGGTCCGAGAGCAGCCCCTGGCCTGTGTCCCTGTCCCCTGGCCTCCCCACCCATGGCAGATGGAGGGTCTACAGCCCCCCACAGCTGCCCGCATGGCTCTTATCATGGCCCAGCTGTGCTCTTCGGCCCCCAAATCCTCACCCCCAGGCCAGGCTGGAAGCCAGAGTGGGGTAAGAGCCATGCGTGCAGCTGAAGGGAGCCACAGACCTCGCGGTCCCCCCACTTTTAGGAAGCATCCATCGCCCCTGGCTTGAGGAGGCATCTGTCAGTGGCAGTGAGCTGAACACCATTCTGCTTCAAATAGGAATGGAGAATAACTGGCTAGGCAGTGATACTGCTGCAAAAGACCTGGGGGTTATAATGGATCCAAACGGAATATGAGTCAATGTGATGTAGTTGTGAAAAAGGCTAATATCATTCTGGGGTGTGTAACCAGGAGTATTGTATTTAAGACACAGGAGGTAATTGGCCCGCTCCACTCAGTCCTGGTGAGGGCCTCAGCTTGGAGTACTGTGTCCAATTCTGGGAGCCACACTTTAAGAAAGATGTGAACATACTGAAGAGAGTCCAGAGAAGAGCAACAAAAATGATAAAAGAGGAAAGACTGAAAAAACTGGGCATGTTTAGTCTTGCGTCAGACAAAGGTCTGGTCTATACTACCCGCCTGAATCGGCGGGTAGAAATCGACCTCTCGGGGATCGATTTATCGCGTCCCGTCGGGACGCGACAATCGATCCCCGAATCGGCGCTCTAACTCCACCAGGGGAGGTGGTAGTAAGCGCCGCCGACAAAAAGCCGCAGAAGTCGATTTTGCCGCTGTCCTCACAACGGGGTAAGTCGGCTGTGATACGTCGAATTCAGCTACGCTATTCACGTAGCTGAATTTGCGTATCTTAAATCGACTCCCACCTGTAGTGTAGATGTAGCCAAAGAAGCTCCTCTCTTGTCCTCATTTCACCACACACTCTCCCCTAGACAAAGCAAGGAAGCCTTTGTAACTCACCTGGCGGCTCCTGATTGGCCATTGCCTGACCCTTCAAGCTGCTGGAGGATCAAGTCTTGTTAGTATCTGAGCCTGAGTGGCTTATCTAGACAGGGGGGTGCCAGGCCAGTGATACTCACAGCAGGGGACAGTGAAGGCTTGGCATACCCCATCACATCTCCCTTTTCATGTTATGCCTCTGGATCAACAATATCCATAATCTCTCATTTCCTGGCATACTTAACTCCTCTACTAAAACTCCCCTCCCAACCTGTTGACGCGAATGATGCATCATAAATAAAGCCCTTTGCCACCAAACCTTTTGAACTCACCTTGAATGTCCAACTCACAAATCTGTGTTGACTGTCTGCACATTTGTGGTGGAGCGAATGCTCTGTGAGGAAGGCCTCTGCTTGTACCTGGCTTGCTCGATCCATGCCTCTCGATAGGCCATGATCACAGCTGGCAACACATTGTCTTGTGTTTGTGGGACCTTCTGGCACATGCTGAGTAAGGACTTGAGCTCTGAGCGGAAGCTCTCGTTCAGCCAGCAGTAAATGAAGGGGTTATAGCAAGTGCTGCTCATGGCAAACCAGTGCAGAGCAAAATAGAGGGAGTTTTTGGTCTTGATGCCAAGGCTGGAGATGAGCACTACATAACAGTTGAGTGGGAACCAGCAGACAGCAAAAACCACCACAACCAACACCAGCATCTTGATACTCTTCTTCTTGTTCTTGTGGTGGATGATGTACTGCTGCGTGGTGATGTCTCCAATGGCATTGCGCAGCCACAGCTTCTTGGCCAGGTGTGCGTAGGTGATGGTGATGATCAGAAGGGGCAAGAGGTAGAGGAGGAGGAAGGTGGAAAGGTCCAAGTATTTCCACACCAGTTCTGCAGGCTCAGGAAAATCAGGAAGACACAAGCTCCGGACAGTAGCTTCCCTTTCAAAACAAAAAAGTATTTTTTATAGTATGTGGCCACAAAAACCTTCATGCAAATTCCTGCATTTCCCAAACCAGTGTGGGACTTTCAGGCCACAATATAAATGGCCTGTCTGCTGCACTTTGATATCCACAAGAGTTAGTATTGCCACCACTGCTTCCATAGGACCCAAATCTGCTATTCTTGTGTACATTGAACCATACCTTAATATGCAAGTAGCCTCATTGCAATCAGTGTGACTACTCCCATAGTAAAATACTACCATATGGAAGGATGGCAGAACCTCGCTCATAGTAACTAATATCCTTCAAGAGGGGAAGAAGTACCTTCCCACCTCTGTCTTTCATGTCACCCCACTTCCAACCCCCTCCCCCAACTAGAAAAAACAAATAAATTACAGATGTGACTACTTATAGATACTGTAACAGTGTAACTGCAAGATGTTTGTGTGCATTCTTTATTACCCCGCGCCTTATATTTGTGACACTTTTCCTTCTCCATATCCCCCTCTGTGTGTGTGTATGTGCCACTTGTGTCTTCTTTTGAGCTCCTTGGGACAGAAAACATGACTTTGTCTGTCAAACATCTTGCACTTACGAGTGCTGTAAATAATAAATGATAATTGAGGGGGGGGGCAAAGGCTAACTGTGCAGGACAGGTTATGAAACTGAATATACAGTATGCAGAAGTGTAAAAATAGTGTGTGTTTGTGTGTATGCACGCGCACGTGGAGGGGAGTGCTGTATAATTTTGATTGTGGTATGTTTGGAGCTGCAGAAAAGTAACAAAATGCTACTTCTCTAAGGCTTTGCAGCCAATGATCTCCAAGCAGATATTAATCAAACCCTCATCACCAGGGCCGGCTCCAGGCACCAGCGAACGAAGCAGGTGCTTGGGAT